AAATAGGAAAATTGGAAAAAGGTCTAAAGAAAGAAAAAAGACAAAAGAAAAAAGAAAGAATGAGGAAAGGAAAGGAAGAAAAGGTTATTGACAGACACCAAAACCGCCTCATTGGCCCCGGCCAATGCACCCGGAAGGGTGAGAAGAGCCAAAAGGGTGCAGCCTAGAGATGTGTGACGCAGTGTGACGCCAATCTCAAGTGATCTCAAGTTTAGAGATTTGGTAAAGCCAACCTACTAGCGATGGCCTCCAACCTAGACAACTTGACAAGTGAAACAAAGGAAAGCTGCTGATTTAGCTGTTAATTAAGTAGGTTGCAGGCCATCGCTAGTGAGATTGGAATGAACACCATGAGGAGAAGTTTAAGTTCATTCCAATCTCACTCATGCCTCTGTAAGCTTTGATAGACTCTCAGGGCCGAGCGCATCATGGCTGAAGAAAGCTACTAACTATAAGACAACAAGCCAAAAGGAGCAACGAGGCCGGCCAAGTCAAGGTGTTGCATGACACATGCAAATACGCTCAAGTCTGGCACGTGTTTCGCTGCACCAAGAGCCGAGAGACAAAACAACTGGCAACAACTGAAATGTGTACGTCCTCGACTGCTCTTGACTCTTGACTCTTTAGGCCCCGACAAACGGCCTTTGACCTCCAAACATGGCAGTACATGGCAAACGGTCGTTGAAAACAGCGAAACAAACCTGCAACTGAGCAAGGAACCTCAAGGGCATGTTGAGTTTCAATGTTTGGTTGCTGTGCGACGGAGGGTTCTTTGGAGTCCTCAAACTGAAGCTAGAAAAGTGACGAATCGACCTAACTACTCTCCTACTACAATGACGGATGCACCCCTTCTTGCCTTCCTCTCAAGCACATGGTTCAAACCCACCCGGCAACGTGTTGAAACCCACCCGGCCACCCGCCTTCCAAGCAAAGCCACCCGGGCCGGAGCTGTTCAGATCTTCGGGCCGAAGACCTCGGAACGTCCGACCGGCGAAGCGAAGCGAAGCGAAGCGAGGAGCGATGGCTTCCAACCGAGAAGCGTCCTTGCTCCGTTCGTAGCGATGCCAGGAGCCCCTAGTGGCCAGGAGCCCCTGGTAGCGTCCTTGCTTCTAGTAGCTTCTTGCTACTGGTAGTAATGCCAGGAGCTACTAGTAGCGATGCCCTTGATACTACTAGCAATGACCTCCTCCAACCTAGAAGCAACGCCAAAAGTTGCTTTTAAATCACTCCATGTTCAGCAGATTCAGCAGTAACAGATTCAGCAAATTCATTAGGTATTTGTCCTATTTTTTCATTAGCCTCAGAATGGATGTTCAAATGGTTCATCTCCAACGCTTTTGTTGCATGCGCAGCTCCACGGCTGAGAGCCAAGCCATATCTTTGCTGAAGATCCTCCAAGAATCATGTTCAATGCAAAGAATGTCAATGTACATGTGATTCAATGGAACCCGGACATACGAACTTTCAATCACGTACCATGATGACTTGAAGTGACATGCATGTAGTCAAACCCACTAAGAATGCATTTACGTGAAGTGAATGTCATGCGTCTCCTCAGCGTATTGCTGAAGTGTTTCTTCTTGCACCTGACAAGTGCATTGGTGAAAGCAGTGAAAAAAGCCATACAAAAGGCCTTTCAAAGTCGCCCTCGCACTCAAACATGTAAACAGTGAGCTAAGAAGCTAAGGATAGTAGTCACACTGGCAAAACTTCATCGGTTGTGTTCCAGTTGCTCAAGCCAAAAAATCCAAGGCCTGTGCAAATCGACTGATTGGAAAATTGGAACAAAAATAAACAAACACAACAATTGATTGTATGTTTAAAAAACTATTTGTCCTCCAACCTACTAGCGATGGCCATCACAATTTGATTTGTGGAATGGACGAAACCTGGTCAAGGCGGTGCTCCAAGAGCGTCCATTGGGCATCCGCCTGCAACGCTACTCACCGAACCCCTGCGGATGGTTCTCTACTTCGGAAAAAAGAAGAAAGGGGTTTGGGCCTCGTTCTTCAACTTGCACCTTATGAAATCAGAAAAATCTACAAATCTTGATTGATTACATCTAAAAACAAAGGAAAAAACGCTTCATATCGGATCCCATTTCATGATCTACAAAAGATCGGATGATCATGGATGGATCAATGATAGAAAACCTTTCGTGAAGTCATCGGGCTGGTCATCGGGCCATCGCTATTCGGTTAGAGGCCGTCGCTATTAGTAACAAGGGCATCGCTACTAGTAGCAAGAACGCGACTAGTAGGTAGGGCCATCGCTATCAGGTTCCTTTTGCTAACAGGGTTGGAGGAAGCTCTCACCAAGTGCGCCTCCTCTAAGAGCCTTCGGAGTTCCTCTCCGAGAGACTGCTCTTGGCCTTTGAGCTTGGGCCAGCTGGGGTCCCAAAGCTGGTCATTTCAATGACATGTGGAAATTTGGTGATGGAAACGCAATGACTTCACATTGTCCCTGTCCTATCTATGAATAATGTTCGACAATGAGACAAAATCTTCTTCTTGAAGGAGATTACAACTCTGCAAAGAAACACACAAGCAAAATGCAAAACTGAGAGACGGCCCTGGTTCTCCGTTGCCATCGCCAGACCTCGAATCGAGTTACAAGTTAGGCTCCATCTGAACATGAGGTTTGCCCAAACAGGACCCAAGCTACTGACTTCAACTCAGTCAAAACCCATGTTGTCATGTTTGAAAAAAGGAAACCGGTAAGAAAGGTATAAAAGCACATACGCTCCATGCAAGTGCGGCCCCGGTCCTGTCTGGGGTCCTTCCCGGGCCCCAGCACCAACTTTTCCACACTTCTGAGAGCAGGGGGAGCACCTTGATCGCCCTTTGCGTCAACTAGGCCCCGAAAACCTTCTGCTTGAATCGGGATTCGGGTTCAACTTAAACGTTCAACCCACGTTCACATCCCCTCTTAAAGCTACTAGTAGCAAGGTGCCTTACTACTAACAAGGTGCAAGAGCTACAATGTCCAACGCCAGGCCATTGTAGAACCCGGCCCATCCGCATCATGAGCGCGAGACACAGCGCATCCGATGCCGGCGATAGAGCTCCAGGGTAAACTGCCCAATGGGCCGTTGTCGCCACTGGCGGATCCGCTCCTGGTGCGCCTCCGAGAAGGTCTCTGGTTTGATCTCCGGCACGAAACCACCGGTGTACTCCGCCGGGCACACCGCTGGCGCGAAGAGGGCGGCCAAAGCCAGGGCTGAAGCAGTGAGTTCATTGGGAGCTCCTTGGAAACAACCATCTGGCTTGGAGAGCTCTGCTTCCACCTCGGCAACATTCTAGGGACACAACATTGTACAGAATCTATCTATCTATCTATCGATCTATCCATCCATCCATCTCTGTCTGGGTGGCAGGACTCAACAAGAAAACCAATAAACATCCAAATCATCCACAATGGTCTTGGAAAAGTGCAAACCCCCTCAGCGCTGCACTTCTTTTCCGAATGGTCAAGACACCTTCTCGATGGCCTCCTCGAAATCCTTCAAGGTCTTAGCCTGTCGCTCCTCATCCCCCACCATCTGTTGCTTCATCACCGACGAAACCTTCCGGCGGAAGCCGCCGAGACTCCAGAGCCCCCGCTGCCACCAGGAGACCGGGCAGCCCTGGCCCATCGCGGCAAAGTCCGCATCCTTCAGAAAGGAAAGGCATCCCCAACAAGAGGGCTTTACTTCTTTTTGACATGTTTTTGGATCGTGTCCTTACAGGAAGAACAGAATGGAACAATTTTTTGAAGGTTCCAGGGGCGAAAACAGCGTTGTCTGGGTCTGTTGGTGAGGAGAAAGTCGGATATAGTGGAGAAACTCGCATGAAAGTCGGACTACTGCATTCCAATATGTTCGAGGAAACCTCACCCCACCTTCTCGGGACGCAGAAGATCCGCATAAACGATGCTTCGGACTTGAGGCCCAATCTGATAGTTGAGCAGTGCTTTCATGTCCTCCGACACGGGGAGTCCAGTGAGTCCAGTGAGCGATAGGATTTGCCAGGAATCATCCAAGATCTGTCCATCACTGGTGAGGTACAGCGGTGTCCCCTGACCTTTCCCGGTGCTCTCACCACCACTTCGGCGCTTTCGGATACGCTCCATCGGGCCGAAGAAGGTGTGGACGCCCGGCAGGTAGGGGTACTCCACGAAGGAGACCTTGGCTCATAAGGAATAATGCTTAAGACAGAATGCTTCTTCAGAATGAACATATGTCGTTTAAAAAATAACGATCTTTCCCCAAACATTGTGGTCACTAGGGGTTCTTATGGTAATGCTCACACCCGCTCACGCTCACTCTCACTCTCTCTCTCTCTCTCTCACTCACTCTCTCACTCACTCACTTACTCACTCGCCACCACGATCTCCACCTTCATCACCTCTCTGGACCCCAATGCGTCTAGATCTCTAAACTTTCTGCTGCTACACCTCTAGACCTCACACACACGCTTTGGGGTGTAATGTAAAAAAAAAATGTAACGTGTTTCAATTAAATATTGGTCTGTTCGAGAAACCTTGGCTTCTTGAAGACTCCAGCGGGCAAGCTCGCAGTAGTGCGAAAATGGGATCGTGTATAATTCTCCTGTCATGCTGCCACAATCCATGCAGCGCGAGTCACGCGCTCGCGTATGCTCGCGTGTTCTTGAGTGGCTTGAGCCCAAAACGAGAGACCTTCGAACATCGACGCGAACCGCTTCGGAACCGCAGGACCGGGTGCGAAGCGCTTCTAACTGGGACTCGGACGAGGCGGACGAGGCCCAAAGCTTCACTTTGAGCCAAAGTTGGACACAACGTCATCGAGTGCGGCTTCCTTCCCTTTCAATTTTAAATCATGTTAAAGGTGCTTCCGTCCTTTTCATTGCTTTTACCAATTTCAACTATGCAGTGTGTGTGTCTCCCCCAGGCTAGCCGAATGACAAACGATGTATCCAAAGATTTCTCAATTCGCCTGAGGAAAAAACATTGATCTCTCTGGCAAGACACAGGCTTCCCACCTTCTGCGAGAGGTCCATGGTGCCTTGACGCCCATCCAACGCCTGGTTCCGGAGCTTCTCCGAAAGCGCCGTGACCTGCACCGCAACGAAGGACGGCGCGGACGTCACGCGCGGCGATGCGGATCCTTGTGAGATACCGTTGGATGTCCTTCCATGCATGTTCTAGAGAAATGGTGTACAATGGGGGGGCTAGGGATGTAATCTCTATAAAATCATTCAAATTGGGTCCAAAAACTATGTACTCTATATATCTCTATATTACATGAGTGTCCAAAATCCATGTCATAGAGGAAAGTGATTGGCATGTTCTTAGAGCTAATGTTACGGAGTATCTTGAGGGACGACGTGGTCTTCAGTTGATTTGAGCAGGCTCTGAGCAAGGTCTCTCTGGAGGCCTCTTCCAAGATGAGCTCCTTTTCGAGAAGCGCTTCCTTCTTGTCGTTGAGCCTCTCCTGGCAGACACCGCACACGAAGTCCGTTCTCCCAACGTGTCCGCTTAGCTAACACGAAAGACCAAGCTCTCAGGCTGGCCACAACCGGACTTAAAGGAGCTTTCTTGGATGGTTCATCTTGCTGCGGAAGCCTTGAAAAGTAACTTCGAGTTCATAGAACCACCTGAACACCATGCTGCTTCCAATGGTCAGTGTAGTTGAACTACGCCTACGCTCACTGGCTCCTGAAGGTCCTGGATCTTCACTCTCAGCGTCTCCTGATCCAAGTCCTCACGACAGAAGCACCAACACCTCTCAGCGTCTCCTCGATGCATTTCCGGACTTTTCTGACGGAGACCTACGGGGCCTTTGGGGATCCAGTGCGCCTCCAAAGCGAGATCGGTTCGGTGGGTGAAGCGTCCTCCCCTCCCAGCTGCCGCCATTTCCGCAGCGAGCTCTTGGGGTTCTCGAGCTGGCCGAAGGTGCAAGCAGGTCAGTGAAGTGCTCGGAGCATCCGCTTGGGCAAGAAGCACAATGAGGGGACACGTAAGCACAAGGAAGCTAATAGCAATGGCCTATCAATGGCCTCCAACCTGGTAGCGATGGCCTCCAACCTAAAAGCAATGGCCTCCAACCTAGTAGCGATGGCAGACACACAAAGTAAGAATTCCATGTGCGAAAGTCATGGGGCCGAAAGTCTCCCGACCTCTCGGGACAGCTCGTCGCTATGCTTGCGCACATTCGAGACCTTCCGCCACCGTGGCGGGACTGACTGTGGCGCAGAGCAAGGTGTAGCTTGAAAACGCCAAAAGGAGAGCTACTAGTCACAAGAAGCTACTAGGAACAAGTGCATCGCTTCTAGTAACAAGTGCCTTACTAGTAGTAACAAGGACGCTACTAGAAAAGAAGATCATTAAGGGCTTTAAGGGCCCCCTTTTAGTCCTTTCCACCGTCTCCCTCCACGCCTGTTCCCGCAGGTTTACTACATCATCTGCGAGCGGCTGTACCTGTTTGCTGCAAGGTCCAGGTGGGAGATCACTGCGGATGTATCGACGGAGGGTGTAGGGTGTAGGGTTTTTGAGCAAAAGATTGCATGGAAGCGGTTTTTCTTAAGGTCCCAAGAAAGGCTCCCTACTAGCGATGGCCTCCACCCTAGTAGCTATGGCCTCCAACCTACTAGCGATGTTTCCTGCTACTAGTAGTAAGGCCAGGAGCCCCTAGTAGTAGCGTCCTTGCTCCTAGTAGCGATGCCCTTTGCTCCTAGTAGCTTCTTGTTACTACTAGTAAGGCACTTGTTACTAGAAGCGATGCACTTGTTACTAATAGCGTCCTTGCTCCTAGTAGCTAGTAGAGGCTCAGAATCGATGTCTTCCGATTTTCAAGGTCCGCCGCTCAACGAAGCGGAATCAGCCCAGACTTCCCGGATTCTGCGGGGGTTGGGAGGCCGCTAAGCGCTGGACTTCTGGGATCTTTTGACGCACCACCTTCAGCTGACGATGCACCTGCGTGAGGAAAACAATGTGAGAAACTCATGGTTACAACGACTTGCTGCTGAGTGGGCTATAGCTGCTACACCTACTGCTTGTGCCACATTTTTTCAGAAATCTTGGAGGCCTCTGCGAGGTCTATCTTCAAGCATCGAATCTCCTCTTCCTTTCTCTGCATCGCATCCTGATGCCAACGACACATCCGAGTCAAAACCTGTCTTGGCATTTAAGTCCCGCCTCTCCCTTCTTCAACAGCTTTTCCTGCACAAGATCCAAAATGATGGATCGTGGCAAATGATTTTGCTCCACTGTGAACACCTCTGAACTTTGTCGAAGCACCTGGATATTTGCCTTCTCCCAAAGGATGCAAAGCTCATCATTCCTTCCAAGTGGAAGCGGGCAAACATGCGAGAAGAACCAAAGCTGGTGCTGGCTGGGCCTATCGATAAGCTGCGTCCCAGTGAAGTTCCGCGTCTCGACTGCCTTCGTCGAAGAAACCGTTTTGAAGGCCATCGGGATGGGCTTGAACCTAGAAGCGATGGCCTCCAACCTACTAGTGAAGAGAAGGCAAAAAGCCTCTCAGGAACAATCCACTAAAAATGTGTTGACGCTCACGGGGCAGCCTGCTCGTACTTTAGTCTCAGCTGCACCTGGCCGATCAAACACTCAGGCGTGCAGTGTATCTCTAGACTCTAAATCGATTGGCTGACCATTTCTTTCTCGATGGAAGTGATGATCGAGTTGAGCTTGTCTATCTCGATGACAAACTGCTCAACCTACGGATGTTCACAAGCGGTTGGCTGTTCAAGTTGGATGTTTTGGAGCATTATACAAGGAGCATGTTTTACAATGTTTGCATGCAAAAGAGATGCAAAGATCTTAATTTCATGGCACATAATCTAATAGCGATGGCCTCCAACCTAAAGCAAAATCCAAAGCCACGGGTCCTCTGAGTCCTTCGAGTCCTCTAACTCTCCAACAAATCATCGCAAGCTCCGAAAAGCCCAGGCTTCTGGCCTGTTCGTTGAGCGCAGTACCTTTCCCACTTATCCGAGTCTTCTCATTTTGAAGCTGATCCTCGGCAACAGCCAAAGCTTTCCCGCACCAAGTCCCAACTTGCCACATCCGTGTATGGATCGAAGGAAGCTGTAGCAAAAGAGACTTGAATCAAGCATTGCAGTCGAATTCGACCATGCAGGTGCACCCGTCTTGCTCCAAAAAGCGATGGCCTCCAGCCTAGTAGCGATGGCCTCCACCCTAATAGCAAAAGGGGATGTGTTCAGCACCTCGACTTCTCCAACCTCCCCCAGTTTTTTTCACACAGATCTGAGCCAAAGGACATGGATCACTTCAAGTCGTTGCGCCTGGCGAAACCGCAGGACCGACCAAGACCCCTGGAAGGATTGGATGATGTGGATCTATAAGAGATACAGTATGGAGACTCCAAGAAACATGATCAAAAGGGATCGAAATGCCTAAGAATGAAGATCTGGAGGATTCTGGAGGAACTAATTGTGTTTGCCAGGAGTCCAACAGGCAAAGAGCCCAACCCAATAGCGATGGCCTCCAACCTAGAAGCAATGACCTCCAACCTAATAGCAATGGCCTCCAACTTAATAGCAATGAACCAGTTTCCCTGCTTTCCACCTGATCAAACAAGCCGAGCAATCCTCTTGTCTGATCTGCGCAAGCTCTTTGTCCTGCTGGAACCACATCCATTTGGGATCCCCTTCTCGCCCCGTACTTTTCAGGTATGTAGAATTGTCACAAATGTATCAAGAATGTCTACGGACTTTCTCCAGTTTGTCTCTACTCGATGAAACTCTTGAACCGCATGCGTCAGCCACTTGTGAAAAATCCGGTCACCATCTCCTTGACGGCACTCTCCATTCGCAAAATCTCCACTTCATTGGACAGGATCTTGAACTTCTCCTGGGAAACCAGAGGATAAGAGAGCCATCTGAACAATCTCTGAGTTTGTCATGCTTCACTTTAGCCTACTTTTGCAGTGACGATGCTGCATGCCAGCCGGTCCCGTCTCTTCTTTCCGTCCGGGCACCCAGCCTTCATTTCGGAGAGCTGCTGATCGGACTTCTGAATGTGGGTCCTCGGCAGTGCGCAGTGCTGCCCTGCGTCGCTAGAAGAAGCAGTCGAACCCAAACAAGTCAGACGTCCGAGACGACCCGTCTGAGCAGACTGAAAGTCCGTCCGCACCAAAGGTGCTGAGGCATTGTGTCGGCTCGCATACTCACGCTGGAGTTGCTAGATAGCATAGCTGGCATAGCTGAAGCTTAACCTTGGGAGGGGAGTGCATTTTTGCTCTAGAATGCTGTGCTTTTGAGGTTTGAAAAAACTTGACAAGAAGCCGGGCGTCATTGGTGATGTCTGTTATGCTGACGGAGGGACAGTGCATTTTTGACATCGTGTTCAGTCATGCTGCCCGAGGAGACCGTGTGTGTGCAGATGTGTGGCCTTACCGAACGGCTTGCACCGTATACACAAAACCACACTTTACACCAACCATCGTTTGCACCAACCGCCGCTTACACCAAACCAGGCATGCCCTTTACACTAAGCCACGGTTTGCACCAACCGCCATTTACACCAAACAAAGGCTTGCACCAACCAGGCACGGCTTACATCAACCACGGTTTACACCAAACCAACAGCTGCTTTGCTGCTGGTTGCTGGGTTTTCTACTGCTGCTGCTGCTTGGTGGTCTGCTGCTGCTAGCTGCTGCTCTTTTTGTGCTGTTGCTGCTGCTGCTTTTGCACCTGCCGCTTCCCGGCTCAGAGAGCACAAGTATCCATGCGGGCGGCTTCGACCCCGAAGCGGTGTGAATAATGGCTGACTGAATGATAGATATATATAATGCAAAGCGCAGCTACCTTTTCCTGTAAAGGGCTTTTGGGCCTTAAAGTTGCCCAGTCAATTGCACAGCATGTACATGCCTGAATGACTGCCTACATGGATCTTGAACTTTCTGTCACTCCTCCTTCGTTCAGGCATGCACTGCACAGTCGTATTGGACGTGCTGTCGCAAAATGCGGACACTCCAAACTGAAATGAAGAACTCTTCCGCTGGGGGTCATGCTGAGATTGTGAAGTCTCCGTTCGAGCTTCTGACTGTACTTCTCAGCAATCTCACGCTCCAGCAGGAAATCTTTCAGCTTTTCCTTCATCATGTTCATGTCCTGCTCGAGTTCTTCTATGTAACCTTCCTTCAGAAACAGCTGATTTGCTGCCTCTTCGAGCTCTCGCTCAAGATGAGCGTTGGGCACTGATACTTGGGTCTCCTGGTCGACCCTCTGCACCTTCAGGCTCAAGTCAATGCTCTTGAACCATTCCATGAGTTTCATGGTCTCCCAGATGTAGGCAATCTTGCTCTCCACAATCTTCCTGACGTAGCCCGTGGTCCACTTGATCAAGCTCAAGGCCCCGATGCAAGCTAGTGAGCATAGCATCATCCATACCCAACTTGTCTCCTCAGGCTCTTTCACTTCTGTCGAGGTGCTTCCGACCTTGTTGATCGTAGCTAGCAGCATCAACAAGCCAATCCTCAAGTCCTTGGCTTTCCCAAACTTCTTCATCCCCTGTTTCAGCTTGTGCTGCTCCTCGATCTCCCGGAACTCCTGCTCGCCCACTCTGTCACCTACCGCATCCACCATTTGCAGCATGTATTGCAAACCCCTCAACCTCTTCTTTGGCAAATTCTTTGTCCCGATGTCTGCACTGTTGAGGTCTGTTGGGATCGCTGCTACACTCAGAGTCTTCTCTCTCTCCTTTTGCTGTATCCACAGCATGGATGCATCCAGGTGTCGGACTCTTCCTATGCCCTGTCTCTGGGTCATTCCTCTGGCGGCCGAACTGTCTGACCTCGCTTTCATCTGGCACTCTTCTCCTGTGATCTTGTTCCACAGGTGTCTCACCAGCATTCCTTCGGAGCACCCTGCCACCAGCGCCATGAACTCGCTTTCTCCTGACGACAGCGCGATGGCTTTCTGACTCCTGACCTTGCTTTCGATGAGATTGCCATCGATGAAGACCTGCATGGAAGTCGTTGATTTCCTGTCGTTCTTGTTTCCAGCATGGTCTGAATCTGTGATGACTTCCACCAAATGTCTTTCTCCATCTTCCACCTCCTCAATCTCTCTGAAATCCATCATGGATTGCCCCTTCTTCCTTTCTTCCATCCTCACTCCGTACCCACTTGTTCCGAAGAGGTATGAGCAGGTATGCCAAGCATTCTTCAAAGCATTTCTTGTGGGCTTCGCCATGTGGCGTGCGAGGCATTGGATGGCATATTGCGCATCAGGGCGTTCTCCAGCCATGTACATCAGGCGTCCCACAATGCTCCTATACTTTGTAATCTCTGCTCCCTCTAGGACTTCGGAGTCGTCCTTCTTCGCAAAGTTGGCGTCCAGAGGGGTCTTTCTGTAGAACCTGGAGTACACGTCAACTTCCTTCTCGAAGCTGTCATACTGCTTCCTATCACATCGGATGTCGCAGTGCTTCCTGCCCAAGTTGAATTGCCGCTTCAGGTAGAAGAACTTGTCGCCTTGTCGAAATGGGCCTTTCTCTTCGACATTCCACTGTTTCTCCTCCTTGAAGTATTGGATCAGCTCCCTCACTTTGTCTTCTCTTCCCACCATAAACACGTCATCCACGTGTACTGTGAGGTACAGGAGGCTGTCCATCATCATCAACGTGGGTTGCATCAGGTCCTGCTCCATGCCAAACTCCCTGCATGCCGATGCAAATAGGCCGAACCACTGTGATGCGGCTGTTCTCTGCCCCGGGAGGCATCTCAACAACTGGTAGATGCGCTCCTCAATCTGGATGTAAGCTCTTTCATTTGCCGGTTGTGCCGCCATCAGGAAAGCGTCCTTGATGTCCAAAGTGACCACTACAAACTCACTCCTCACGTTCAACAGGTAGTGGATCAGCATCTTTGGCAACATCATCATAGAAGTTGGGGCAAATGTAGCATCAAGATCAATGCTATTCTTGAACTGCCTGGCCACCAGCCGTGCCCTGCGGAACCAACCTCCTCTCTCCAGGCGATGTTTCCAGCACATTACCATCTTGGTGCTGATGATGTACCCTTCATTTTGCTGAACCTCCTCTTGTTGGACTTCTTTCATGGCGGGCATCTCCAGCATCCTCTGAATCTCCACATTGCACGCCTCCTTGTCAAGTTGTCCCAACTCCTCTTCGCTTACTTCAGGTGGATCATCTCCTTCATCTCCTCCATATCCCATAAGCTGTTCTTCTATCAATTCGTCAGGCATGAGTTCCATGTCCACCTCTTCATCTCCATGAGGTTCCAACCCGATGGCATCAATTCCTGCGTAGTGCGGAGGGTACAGACGCCCTGTGTCGTGTGCCGGTGCCATTCTTGGTGATCCTTCAAGTTCCCTTCTCACTTCACTGCCTTCTGCTTGGGGACCTGCTTCAATTCTTCCTCTCTTCTCTTCTCCTTCTGCAGCCTCTTCTCCTTGCCTCTTTGCTGCATTTCTTCTAGGGGAGTCTGTCGTATCCACCTTCTTACTCTCGCGTTCACTTTCACTCTTCTCCTCCTCAGTCAACTGCCTCTTCATAGCTGGCTTTGTAGGTGTCTGCGGTGCTTCCTTTGCTGCTGGCCCCAACATAGTCAGTGTGATTCCTGGAGTCATTGGTTGACTCCCTGGGGCTGGTGCGACCACCCCAGTCGCCACATCTTGGGCTATGACTTTCATCTCCTCCTCATTCACCTCCATCTCAAGTGTGGGTTGCCGGTACCTTTGAGCCTTTCCTGCGTGCTTCATCAGAATACCCTGTGCCGAATAGCACCAAGGTAGGCCCTTTGCTGTGAACACCTCTGGGCCATTGAAGCTGTCTTCAGGTGCCAGTCTTCTGATCGTTCTGGATTCATAGGCTCCTGTCGTGGTCAGCAGCACGTGGTTATCGTTCCACGGGTGTTTCGTCACCCAGACTCCTTTCTCAAACACTGCACTGCCTTTGTTCCTGACCGGCCTCTTGAACAGCACACTTTCTCCGAACAGGGCCAGCTTTCCACGATAGGGATGTCCCGTGGCCAATTCAAAGCTCGTCCTGTTGATACCTTCAAGTACTCGAAATCTGTTGATCAGGAACGAGGCATGCTTGAACGACCATGGGTAGATGTCGAAATCTCCTTCGATGTTGATGCGTGCCCTGTCTTCTGCAAACCAGCGAAGGCAATTTGCCATCTTCCGGATGGTTTGCACCGCTCGCTCAGCTTGTCCGTTTGAGGCATGTTGTCCTGCTCCTGTCAACCTGATTTCTGTCTTCATGCCCAGCACATTCCTGACTTGCTGGACTGATCTGAGGATCTGTCTGGTGGCTCTTTCACTGTCTGCTTGTATGATGCAGGCATCTCGGGCTGAGTTCTCCAAGGCAAACCGGACAATCTCTTCAGTGATGGTCTTGAGGCTTGCTGTCCCTTTGCTTGGTACAGGCACTGCATGGATCGCCTTTGTCTCTGAGCTAGTCATCACCAGCACAGTGCCATGTTGATCCTGCCTCTCCATGACCTTGTCCTGCATTGGCTTCTCTGACCTGTCCTCTTCGCCCGTGTACGTGTAGCAAAAGTCGATCTGGATGATGTTCTTCCCAATGTCTTCCTTCTTCTCTGTCCTCTCATGCTTATCTTCCTTTGATCGACTTGCCACGCACGCCTGACACCACGATGCGAATGGCCAGTGAGTTACGTTGTGCAGCTCCTGTTCCGCTAGGCTTGGCAACTTTGGCTGACCCAACGTCACGGGCCTTCGCCTTCGTTCGTTGTAGAGCTTGCTGGCCACTGCAAGATGCATTTGGTTCTCCAAGTTGACTTTGAAAGCCACCAATCGTTCCAGCAGCTTCCTTTTGCTTCCTGTGTAGGCCAATTGCCTCTCCTTGCATGCCATCTGGAGCTCCTTCACTGTCATCTTCTCTGAATAGACAACTTCGTCCATCTCCACTTCGTGCTGTCTCTCTGCCACCACCGTCTTCTCGATGTCATGGTGCATCTCTTCAGCTTCCAGCTCCTCCAACTCTTCTCCTTCATCCTCTGACCATTCCACATGACCAAAGGATCCGTCTGTCAGTGGGTATGGAGCCACTGGGACTTCACTGCCCGCTTCCCAGTAGTCCTTGAATTGCTCTGGTGCAAAGAAGCTCAGCGTCCGTTGGGGTTCCGTGGCGAGGCTGATCTTTCGAAAGGCCTTTGGACCCAGCTGGTTGATGTCACCCGTCTTCTCTAACTGCTCCCAAAGTCCGTCCTTGCCTTTGACCAGGGTGAGCCTTGATTTGTAGATCTTTTCAATGCTGCCAGACGGGTCAACCAACTGAGTTGCAACTGGGTCGCTATAGACCGCCACGCCATTTGGCAATCTATGCCACCCCGGGGTCATCTCCAATTCCTGCACATACTTGCTCAAATAGCCATGCAGCACTTGGATCCGCGCCGCTTCCTCTTTGCCCTTCTCCTGTTGATGAACTTGTCCTTCACTCATCTCCACCGCAAAGATTCTCGCCTCACATTGCAGTGAATTTCTCTCTGTATTCAATGGGATGTCCACTGAGCGCCCTTCATGTCGAAGATGCAAGCTGCCTTCAACCTCGCCCAGCGACCATCCTCTCTTCAATAGCTTTCCAGCGCACAGAATGGGATGCTGCACACTTCCGAGCACAAAGTCCTCATAAATCTCAACCACCTTTCCTCTTCTGTCGACCATTCTGACCTTTGCTCTCGTGATCCCATTATGAGAGATCTTCTTTCCTTGAGCATCAACCATCTTCAGCTGCCCTTCTGTTTGTTGTCTCTCTCCAACACCTGCGTAGTCTTTGGGCAACACTGAAATGTCCGCCCCGCTGTCCACAGTGATCAGACAGCTTCCTTCTGCACCATCTTCTTGCTTCCTCACCATGTTCACCGCCATCTCCTCTGCATCCTGTAGGTCCATGGCCACTATAGCCACCCCACCAGGTACCTCCACTGCCGGTTCGTAGCAGTCGTGGTATTCCTGCTCCTCTGTCTCATAGAACTCCTCTTTCTCATAGACTTCAACTTCGATCATCCCCACACGCCATGGAAAGCTGTCTGAACTCTCTCCTCTGGGCGTGGTGAGGTCAAATACCTCGAGGGATGAAGCATCTGGCGGTGTTTGTAGTCTCACCATCTTGACTGAGGCTGTCGTTGTTGTCGCCCCAGCGCCACCTGTCTGACCTGTTGACGATGAGCTTGCTCCTCCTGCATTCTGTTGCTCCTCCACTTGGTTCACCCGCTTCCAACACTCTCGGGCGAAATGTCCAACCTTTCCGCAAACATGGCAGGCACCACTCTTCGCTCCTTTTCCACTCTTCTCGGATGATTTGCCTTTCCTTCCGGGCCCTTTCTCCCAGAAGCTCTTTCCTTTATCACTCCCTTTTCCTGTGCCTCTGCCATCCTTGCTGCCATACTTTCCTTTCTCTTTGCCTTTGTCTTTTCCTTTGAAATCTTTTCCTTTTCCTTTCAGGCCTTTCTTGCCCTTGCCGACCTTCCCGACATAGTCCACCTCCATTGGTATCGCCTCATCACCAGAAGCTCTAGTGGGGAACAGCAATGAGTTGGTCGAGTCCCACTTTGTCGTCACCGCCTCAAGCTGGATGATTCTATCCTTGAGCTGCTCGTATGTGGTTGCATCCGTGATCCATAGATGCAAATGCTGGCGGATTTGCACAGGGCAGGCCAACAGAACCGATGCCACCTTGGCGTCATCTGAGTACCTTTGGGTTGAGATGCGCTCGTACTCCATGACCAATGCTTCAAATTGAGGTAACTGTTCTGAAACCGTCTTTCCTTCCGCAAACTGAATGCGGGAGAGCTGGCTCAAAAGTGCTAGAGCCCTTGCTCTTGTCGCCGGCTGCATCTCCTTCAGCAGACACTGCCACGCCTCAAATCCATTCTCACTTCTCACATGGCGAATCAGTTTCAGCGGCCTCTGTCTCACATACGAAGTCAGCAGGCTGTAAAGCCTCACGGCCCGTGCCTTCGTCTCGTCGGTCATGTCATCGAACTTGTAGTTCCCATCGATGTTCTCCTCAACCATGTCCATACTGGTTGCCATTGATGGGTCCAATCCTTTCACGTAGTTGAGGAAACCAAACTTCCAGTCTCCCCATAGCCTCAACTCGGCCTCTCTTCCTTCTGGTTTGAAGACATCTGGGGCCTTCAAGTGACGTGCCCATCCTTGGGCATTCTGTGTCCTTGCCAGCCTTTCCAATGCGGCTGCCACCTGTCTCAAGCTTTCTTCGGCCATGCTCTTCCACCCGTAGATCCTGGGGATGAATGTCCTCGTCTCCACAGGGGCAAAGGGTGTTGGTGTACCAAATTGCAATCCTGCGTACGTAGGGATGTCCCAGAGCTGCCAGTTGTACACTAGCTCACTGAGTTCGTCCACACCTGTACTGTCCCGTAAGGCTTCAATCCTCTTCACGAACCTCCACCTTGTCGGCACCACAATGACCACTTCCTTTAGCTCTGACTGGTCTTCCCTTTGTGCCACCACTATAGATGCACGCACTCTGCTTTCACTCCTTATCCACTTGACTTTGCTGATGTGCTCTTCTGTCTCGATCACCAGCGTATGGATCCTTCGAACACGGCTTTTGCAGGTCAAGGGCAACACCGAGCTGTTCTGGTAGTACTGAACCTCTTGGGTCGTTGACGTCCCAATGCCCCCTGCTAGACCTGCTAGGATCAAAAGCTCGAGGATCCAAATCGAAGCAAATGAGGGTCCTTCCCTGGATCGAATAGTCCTCCTTCTCCGTGCCATCGTGGAGCTCAAGCTCTTCGTCGTGCTCGTGGTGGTGTCGTGGGCGGCGGAGCCCCGGCTCGCTACGGCCAGGGCTCCGCTACCATGCAAAGCGCAGCTACCTTTTCCTGTAAAGGGCTTTTGGGCCTTAAAGTTGCCCAGTCGATTGCACAGCATGTACATGCCTGAATGACTGCCTACATGGATCTTGAACTTTCTGTCAATATATGATGATATGTTCTGTCAGACTGGCGAAAAAGTTCAAGAAATACACATATCAGATCAAGCTAGCGGCATGTACTTGTTGCGCTCATTCTTCACCACCTAAAACAAACACACACAGGTCAAATGTCCAAGATGCCACACACTTTAGCAAAGACAACAAAGAGTTGGAAACACCTTCAAGATCCTTCAAGATTTTCTACAAGCAGGACTGGCCAAAAAAATACATCCCAAATAAATTCAAAGGCCTCGTACATGGTGCAAAACTCCCTCTGCTTCTGACTGATCTCCTGAACCCGGTGGCAGCCACGACCTCCAACCTAATAGCAATGGCCTCCACCCTACTAGTGATGGCCTCCAACCTACTAGCAATGGCCTAGTGTGCTTCTGTGTCCTGATGTTTCTTCTTGAGATCTTGCTCTTCAAGTTCCTTCATGGATACCTCACTGTGAAGGCTGAAAACACAGGAACCCCCACGGCAAACGCAAGCATCACAAGCTGAAGATCTTGAGGCCAGCGCCTCATCTGCGGTTTCTCGGTATAATCTATGTGCCTTCACAAGCGAAAGCATCCAAAGGCATCCGTATTCTACCAGGGGCTCCTGGCCTTACTACTAGGAACAAGGACGCTACTAGGGGCTCCTGGCCTCGCTACTAGGAGCAAGGACGCTACTAGGGGACCCTGTGAGGTCTCCGTGGCAAAAACTCTTTACGTGTTGTTTCATTTTGAACCGGGGGTCACCCGAAGAGTAGGGTATCAATCCGAACAGTCTTAACTAGCTAACGACAACTGCGGAGTTTGGCTCGGCTTCAGCATATTGGCTCACCCTGAACCAACGGCACCTGTGAGGCATCCCTGGCCAGCTTCTCTCGATGTGAGGCAAGCCTTGTAAAAGTAGATGGCACACCGCAGCAACAGTGTCGACAGGTCAAAAGACGGATTGAACATTTAATTCTAAAATTAATTCTAATTAAATTCTCATTTAACAATTCTCATTTAATTCTATTGTTTCTACTAGCAAACATTGTTCCTAGTAGTAAGGCCCTTGTTCCTAGTTGCGATGCCCTTGGCCACTAGTAGCGTCCTTGTTACTGTTCAGCAAAAAGTGCAAACTGGGCCCTCCACGTTTTGAAGTTCGCAGACCAGCGTTGCTCCTGCGGGATCGTTCGTTTGGTGCAGATGTTTTCTGCAACGCAACCTGGCTGCCTATGTGGGGGTTCATGTTCCTCTCATCTTCGCCAAAGCATCAGAGTGTATACCTCTTCTTTTCAATTTAGCTTTGGCTCTGACTAGCCCTTGTGGCCGTCAAGTGAATGGTGCTTTCTCCAAAACTCCTCAGAACTCTGAAGTTAAACAAAGCAGTCCCGCTTGTCCCTGCTTTCAAGTTGTTCTAGGGCAGTGCAGAAGTGCATAAGGGATGGACTTGACTGAGCCCAAAAAAAAGACGAAGACTTGGGATGAGGATGGGACGGGTTGATGTCGATGGGATGATTGGAGGACTTGAAAACAGGAGCAAGTGGGAGACTTTACAAGACCAGCCCTCCTCAAAATCGATCATTTTGCGCAGGATGTTTGACCCTCACTGCCGCGATTGGGAAACTTCTGCATCATTCGCTTGTGTGCTTTGACATCCTTTTGGATCGGAGTTACCAGCCACAAATAGGGATAGAACTCACCATACTTCTCCCCAGGATCACGCCTGACCTAAGTGCCGCCATTGCGCGAATTCAACGAGCCGCGTCGACCACCGCGGTGCCGACGCGTCCACGACCGAAACCGGCCGGGGCGTCGGTATATCGACAAGGCCAATGGACAAAAATAGAAGGACCTCCAACCTACTAGCGTGGCACCTGTTACTACTAGCGTGGCACCTGTTACTACT